GAACTGGCGCTGTGGGATGAACCAAACGTTGGGTTAAGGTGCCTAACTCCTCGCTCATGAGACCCCATAAAAGGCCCCTTCGATCGCATGTATAGTGTAGGCGCAATCGGCGTCTTTATATTTCCAAATTGCTTTCGATGAGTTTCAGTATGCTCACATTGAGTAAATCTTCATTACAACATGTTTCATTCAAACAATATCATCGACGATAAAATGAACTTCGCATTAACCAGTCTGGATGCTTGAGTTCCGTGATTCTTTTACCATTACTTAACTCGACAGTTGGCATTTCGGCGTAACTGGTTGCATCGAATTCGATCGGATTATGACTTCGCCTACGTATTTCCTAAAGCCAATTCATAAAGGCGGGACAAATAATGGACGCAACAATTATTTTGAGCTGAATATTGATCTCAGCAAATGATTAAATATTATGATTTACTACAACTAGTCCCAGCTAAACCTTGGACACCAACAAATATTTTTACAGTCCAACCTTAAGTAAACACAAGTAAGCTGCCGGCTGCTGATCGAGATAGACCTTATGAGCAACAAGTTCTGGCCGACGCACCACTTCAGGCATGTCCAAAACGCCGAATACACATGACCAGCTGGCTATACGCCCTGAATTCAAAGTTAGCTGAAATAACCTTCCTTTCTCATTTAGCGTAGTTAAATGGAATAGAATATGGAACCATGCCACCATGAAAATCTACTCGCCGAAACATGGCTTTTGCCATTCCCATACTTGATATCGGCCAATGTAGCTGGTACCGACGTGGTCGACTGTATGGTAAGCGTTTGGCGTCATAGTGAGATGCTTGCGAAGCCATAAAATATCGCGCGCCCGAAACGAGCCAGGAGCCCTGATCACTGTTAAAAAACTTGTTAGTGGTGTGCATCCAAAAAAATGTGTTCTGTCCTACTTTATCTACTTACCAACTAGTTGATCGTGATCAATTTGGCTTTCAACAGCAGTTTATCAAAAGAATGACTCAGTGACTAGTGTAAACCAGTGAAAGTGTATTGACAGCATTCATAAGGCTTTAAAGGCACAGTGCACGATAAAACAAACTTTTGAGATATCCCGCTGGAATGGATTTGGGGAACGTTCTTGCGTGATGTGGTGGTTTCCTCAAAATTTTCTCCCTTTCTTCACCTCTTCGTACAACTGCATCAACCAAGATCTTGTCCGAATATTCCTTCCATGTTATTCCCGTCATGGTGATCTCGTCCAACCTCTATTATCCCTACTTTTGAGGAACCTCATTTTTCTCAAAATTTTCTCGCTTTCTTCACTACCGATGAACTATTCCCGAACTCCACTTCCGCTTTTCGACTAAAAAAGGGTATCTCAAAATTATCGTGGACTGTGCCTTCAATGAATGCTTTTCTAGAAAGTAGCGTAGAAGAGACGTACATACTGCATTTCCTGCTACGGTCGTCCAGAACGATTCATCGGGAACCCATGTCTCGTTCAAATAGGTCAGCAGTGCTTTAACTTTTTTACTCTTTGACATGAATTTCGCTGCTCGACGTGGAATAGCTACTGACATTGCAGATTTGTACAATGGAACAGGCGGATGTATACCCTGAATTAGAGTCGAATCGGGACTGTAGCCACAGGTAACACTCGCTTAGTCGTTGTGGACTGGGTCATGGGCTTTCATGACAAATACAGAGTAGCGTACCCTTTCAACGGCACAGTCAATCGAACAATGTCATTAAAGACAAGGTAAAATGTTAAAGATGTGGATACTTAAAACAGAATGATGCAATGAATTGGAACAAGTATCATTTGAAGTTCACAGCAACCTCCATCAAGCGATATCGATCCGTTTCGAACTCTTCAACATCCGTATTGATTGATCCATTCAACGCAATCATTATGCGCACCATTTCGAGATTGGTGCGGAGGGGTAGATCTGCTCCAGATAGATACTGTAATCAAGATCGCTCTTCAATTTTGACTCTCACTATCTATTCGTCATTTTTCATGTTTAGCTATTACATTCTGATTAAAGGCACAGTTCACGATACTTTCGAGGTACCCCTTTTTATTCGAAAAGCGGAGGTATACGTTGGTAATAGTTCATCGGTAGTGAAGATAGCGAAAAAGTCCGCCAATTTCGACAAAAGTAAGGCTCTTCAAAGATAGGGATAGTAGAGGTTGGACGAGATTACCATGACGGAACTAACATGAAAGGGTTATTCGGACTAAATTTCAATGCTGTGATCGCGCAAAGAGCTGATTACGTCAAGCCAGAACTGTACAGCATTGCCTTTCACTGTCACTATGGGTCATGACAAGTTGTTCTAACTTTCTACGTGGGTTCCCTTGTGATCGATGCAGCTTCTGGAGTGATAGTGAAACTCGTCGAGGATACACACGTACAATTTTTGGGCCTTTACATCTCTCTAACTAGGCCGTTTTCCGACCTGACAGCGTGTCATATGTGGTATACAGGGGCCACAAATTTATCATTTCGGGATATTTCACTAGCTATTTTCATCGTAAACTGTGCCTTCGAGGCCAAATTCAGAGGTTGCAGGAAATGAGTTCCAGTTCTTCACTCCACGTACCTGATAATATTTCCATGGATGATCCAGATCTGTGAGATATTCGAAGCATTTGTGAACATTAGCAAGAATACCGAAGGATCCCCATACTGATTTGTTTCCAATCGGAAATAAAGACAGACATGAAGAAACTGGTTATCCATTGATATTTGTTTTCTGTGAGCCAAGAAGAATTCGGGGCCTGCCACAGTATTTGGAATCTTATATAGCGAATAAGTGAAGCGCTGTATATTGCATGCGTCGTAACACGACACTCTCAGAGCTTCTGTTGATCTGTTACTATTCAGACTTGAAGAATGACTGGAACAGCTGAATTCATGTTAATGGGAAGCTGGTGTCACTTTTCTGGACAAGTTGTAAAGGCCACCTCCAAACTCGAAAGATCCTCTCACTTCTCACAATTCTCATGTCAGAGGGTGTCCTTGTCGCTCGAAAAATTAATGCGAGAGAAATGGAAAAACCCTACATGTATGTGAAAGAGTAGGAAGCCTAATCAGGCAAAAATAACGTTAGTGGAAGGGTTATACTCTATTACGACGGTATTTATCCAAAAATTCAGTGATGGCACTCTTATTCAAGATCATAGGTGCATGAAAAAGAGTGGCGTTCTCGAAAAAAAAACGCGATTTTGGTGTTTTCCAAATCTGATGTCAGGTACGATAATTATGCGTACGATTCCTACAATGGAAAATGTGAAACCAAATAAAATGTATTCCATTTGGTGACCCCCTGTGTCAAGGAACACGTCGAAGGGAAAACGCCATATATTTTGGGGGACCTTGTAGGCACGCGTAAGATTTTTCTTAGACTATCCGTATACCTGTATTCCTACAACCACTATTGTCTATGATAGGTGTGGTGCAATAGGATCTAAAGTGTCGCGTCGCGGCGAGAGGGATGCCGCGCGGGAAGGAGTGTAGCAGAATGCAGCAGCAGGTAAGAAATACAAGAACAAAAGAAGTAATATATTACCATACCCAAAATAATAACTGCATATCGATTAAGCTCTATGAAGAACTATACAGCTGTAATAACGGCGAAGCGAATGGTCCGCGCGCGGCGAATAGATTACACGAAACCGATCCTATTGCCCGTCTACCATCTAGGACATTTTGATAACTCTTTCCACGGGGTAGGGGAAGGACAGGTAGAATAAGCGTGAATGAGAAGCAGCAAATCAAAGCAGAATAGAAGTACCAAGAAAGTTGTGTTGGCACTGTCGGCTCCTGCTGTTTTCATTATCAGATGGTTATTTATCAAACACAGCAGTAACCTTATTATAACTTCATTCAGGCATTTTTTTGAATAGATTCACTTAACTGCGTGAGTTATCAGCCTCCAAGGATTCCCTGCATTTTTTACAAACGGAAAATGCAAAAGTACTCACAAATGTAGCTGTGTTATTAAAGCATGAAGGTAGTTTTGCAATAAAATTCTTAAACTTTCGGTTCGCACCCTGGTCGACCATTATACAGTAGGCGTTTTGGGGATGATAGAAAATGCTGAATTCCAGCATCACCTGGAATTTCATTTTCTCGGAATAAATTTTTCTTACAACTCCTTTTTAAGATGGCATTAATTGTGTTTGAAATAATAAATTTATGAGCTTTTGTATTCACTGGATTTTTGATACACCGGTAGTTGGGATCATTAGAGCGCGATAATATAAGTAATTTAAATTGACCTGGACAATATCTTTATAAATAAGAAAGCCATAAGCTAATGGATAGTCAGCCTCTTCTTCCGACAGAGGAGAGTCTTCGAAAACGAAGTAGCGTCGGATGGTATTACACCTGAAAACAAAACGTGACAACTGTTAAAGGCACAGCCCACGATGAAAATGTCTTCTGAGATATCCCGCTAAAATGAATATGTGGGACCCCGTATTGTGGTGCTGTCATACCTGGAAATGGCCTAGATAGGGCGTTATAACCGTGTGTATCCTCGGAAGAGTTTTACCAGCATTGTAGAGGCTGCACCAGTCGCAGGGGACCCAGTGAAGGGAGATATAACATGTCATGACCCATAGTGACAGTGGAAAGTAGCTCTGTGTAATTCTGGCTTAATGTAATCAGTTTTTTGCAAAATTGCAACAACTGAAATCTCATCCGGAGGATATCCCTCCTATGTTATTTCCGTCGTTGTAATCTCGTCCAGCCTGTACTATCCCTATCTTTAATGGGGATTATTTTTCTCGAAATCGGCGAATTTTCTCGCTTTCTTCACTACCGATGAGCTATTCCCATCCTGCAACTGCTTTTTGACTAAAAAGGGGAACCTCTGGATTATCGTGGACTGTGCCTTCAATACATAAGAGAACACAGGCTGATGTACCAATAGTGCTCAAATATTAACATACACTTCATCTGATTCGTATAATTCTCGTTCGATAGAGCTATAATCAAAGGTCCAGTGCTTGTATTTAATAATATCCCGTCCTCCACTGAAAACTGTATCGCAGTCTAGACTTATCGTCTCGATAGGGGTCCCAGGAATATAGCTGAATGCGTAGGTTTGGTGACCTAATTCAGTGCGAAGAAACTATGGATTGGAAAAATGCTATTGAAACCAAAACTAGGAAGCTGGAAAGACCTACACATTCGGTGAGCAAGTCTTCCATATGCTGATTCGACATGTAATGTACAATAATAAAAAACCATGCAAAAGTAATCGGATGCGGCCACTCATTATTAAGTGAAAATTTGCCAACAAAGAAGAAATTTTGTTGACAAGACGGAAATGCTGTTCAGATCGAATCATTGAGACCACATGTATGGAACCGAGGATTTGGGACACGCGGGCCAAAGGTAGACTACGTATCAGAATATTCAATCTTTCGATATCCTTGTTCCGTCTTCCCTCTTCACACGCGCAACGGGCTCAGCTCTTCTGCACTATGACTTCGCTCCTGTCAAAAAATCGAAGCAAAATGCTCTCTATGAAGCAAAAAACACCTTCACCACCGTAAAATTTCTGGGGAATGAGATTATTTGAATTACATTTCAGCAGTTGGGCTACATGCCCACGACCACTCATCCAAGAACTTACTCTTGCTTTTACTCTACTCGATTTTTGACAATCCCACTTTAAATTTCGCATGAATTTAACTATAGGAAATTGCGAAAAACCTGATTGAATTTTTCAATTTCAAGAGTTAGGAGACAGTGGTTGGAGAAAATCTATAATTGCTATCAATCAGCTATGGTGTTCCACTCTACCAACAATTCTGTTTTTNNTTTTCCAAAAGCTCGATGGAAGTCTTCAAAAAATTGCCGCATGTGTATGAAGTTGCTCTGACGATCGATCAATCCATATCGAATCAGGTGCTCGACTGAAAACTCCTTGATGTTCATAGAGGCAGGATTAAGGGGTGAAGATCACCATTAATGCTAAGGAAATGGGGTGATGAACAATAGTAACCACCCGCAATGGTATCTCGTAGGAACGCTCCAGAAGGTGGGAGAGATCTGCTAGAGCCCTTAAACAGCAACCTCCTCTTCCAAGACCACCCCATTGCTTCTCTACCACCCTTGAGAGCTTCTAGTCCATTCACTCACTGATCTGCAGATATTCCCGTTCTGTACGACGCCTTTTCAGCGTCAAGGGAATTCAAACACTCGCCGTTCCCTTAGACAGTACCTCCCACTGGGCTATGGAGGTGGCCAATATCTCTTACCTTGCTAAAACCTTTTTTAGTTTCAGGAGACAGTGAATGAAGGGAATCTCCAATTACCATCAATCAGCTATGGTGGCCCATTCATACAAAAATACCGTAAATACCGTTGGTGGGAGTCTTGAAGAAATTCCCGTTTTTGTTTAAAGTTGCTGAGACGATCGATCAATTGATATAAATCAGGTGGTTTAACTGCAAACTCCTTATTCTTCATGAATACTTCGGAAGGGTGGATACCACCCTTATTGCGAACGAAATAAGACGAATACTACTAGTATACCACCCGCACTATGTAGTACAGGAATGCTCCTAAAGAAGGAGATTCTTTCACTGTGTACCAGGTGCAGGAAAGTTCGCTACGTTTCAGTAGTTGCGCAATGTCTGCAACGTGATCTGCAAGTGAGGTGACAACAGGGTCTCCTGACCAGCGTTGCCGTGAAACCTAGAAAAAATCGAAGTAGAAACAAAATTGAAAAGCGGTCATGGTAATCGAAAATGGTTGTCACTTCAGCCTGTGAAGTCTTGTTGAAAACGAACTTTCGTTTGGGGAACAAATACAAATACGAATATTGGCCATATCATTAGCGTTGTGTTTTTCCTTAATTAGCCGCATACTCATCTCCTCAGTCCCTACTGCAAATACACACTCTAAAAAACGCCAGTAACCACCCATCTCAGTTTCTCTTTCCTTGCAGGAGGGTCCTGCCAATACCTCTTGCCCTATATTGACAACCCTGATGGTGACGTCTCTTCTCCAAGCCTACGATTGTCTTAATGCTAGTGTTCGTACGACCCGCATCAGCCAACAGCTCTGGTCCAGAGATTATCGTTGCCTTCCAAATGCCTACTGAGGTCAGAAATCTTCGATCATTGATATACTTGAAGCTGCATAACTTCTTCTGTACTTCCTTGGAGCTCAGCCAACTCAGGGTTTTTCTTGGGCTGGTCAACTTCTACGGAACCTTTGTCTTTGAACCGGACAATCTACGCGCTAACCAAAGTAGTTGTCGTCTCCACATGTTCACCATAATGACAATTCTGCTTCGATCAGATCAGAAAGATTCTCCAGGCGGTTCTTCATCTTGTGCATTACGACTCTACTCTGTGGCTCATCCTTGCTGAAGATGTCTTTGAATATGAAGATTGCGCTGTGCTCCCGCAATCACTCTTCGACCTGCAGCGACAAGCCGTTCTGCGTGTCATTCGTGCTTTGACCCAACACAGGAGAAATACTGTCAGATGAAGACGGAGGCCATAGCCGTTGATTTTGCATTTCACCTCTTTGTACAGGACCTCAGTTCAAGGTGAGGACGAACCACAATCTTCATCCTCGTGAGCTGGGAAGAGTTCAACGCTGTTCGTCTAGTGCCTTTTAAGGTGGGCAACTACCTATTGACTACAACTTCAGCATTCAGTACGTCAACACGGTCGAGTATTCACCGTAAATTCAACCATTCGCTTGGGCCATAAGGCACATTTCTATTGACACCGACGTTTGCGCTAGAATAAAGGGCATCTGCAGTAAACTACCTGTTACATGCAATTCTATGCGAGCCGCTTTTGATGCCGATCGTGCTCTGGCTGATGTGCCCTTCCGCACTCTGTAGTTCGGATAGCTCGTGACCCACCACTCGGCCGTACTACATTCGACGACAACGTTACCAACTGCTCACTTATGCTTACTTACATTCCGAGATGCCAAATCCCCTTCAACATCGCATTCTAGAATCGCTTCACAAAGCTCATCC